GTACTGTCTGTATGTCTGAGTGTGAAGTACATTTCCAGGAATTTCTCTAATCCCTGGAATAAACAGAGTACTGATTCTGGTTCTCCCTGTACTGAGTTGGAATCTCTTCTTGAATTAGGGATTTTGTTACAGTAAAGGAAACCTATGTTATCAACAAGGCTTAGGTTTTTCCTTCAACAAAGAAAAAAATGCAAGTATAAATAATGAAATATCCCTTCCTGGCTCTTGTTTAGTGTAAAGCAGTAATGTATTGAAAAAGCTGTTGAAATAGGCATGGTTCACTTCCAATCTCCATACCCCCACCCCAAACCCAGTGGTTAGCTATGCAAACCTGGGCAGGTTACCTAACTCTCTGAGCTCATATCTCAGCCATTAATAGAAATAACAAGGCTTACTTCACAGAAGTTTTGAGATTAAATAAGATAATGTAGTAAAATAGTCAACACAAAAGCTGGTCCTTAATGTTTTGCATTATTTGTGCATATAGGCTGTGTGTTTGAGAGAGGGGGGACTCCTCAAATTGACCTCTTTGCTGATGCACATCTTGGGTTTTTTTTTATTTTATTGTTTAATTAATTTTAATTAAAGTTTACAGAGACTTTGGATTTCCATTCATTCATTGTTGCACTTTTCTGCCTGCCCACCCCTCCCTCGCAATTCACTCTTTGAAAAGTAAAATTCTGTCATTGTTATACAATCCCTCCCCACAAGTCCACTCCACCATGCAGCCTTCATTTTGGACTTCTGCCATGACAATAATACCTAAGCATATATCTCTTTTAAACTGTTCTCTCCTTCATCTGTTTCAATGCAGTATACATTATTTATCCCATATTTCTCAGTCTTCCCCCAACCCCAATGTCAGTCCCATTTTTTACCAGTGGCACTATGCAATATTTGTCCTTTTGTGACGGAGATATCTCACTCAGCATAATGTCCTCCAGGGTCACCCATTTTGTATAATATTTAATGAGTTCCTTGTTTTTCAATTCAACATAGTATTCCATTGTGTGATATATATATGAGAGCTTCTCTATCCATTCGTTTGTTGATGGGCACTTGGGTTGTTTCCAGCTGTTTGCTATTATGAACAAAGCCACAATAAACATGGGTGTGCATATATATCAGCTTGGGTGGCGGTTACGGTTTCTTTAGGGTATACTCCCAGTCGTGAAATTGCTGGGTCAAATGATATTTCTATTTGCAACTTTCTGAGAAAGTGCCATACAGCCTTCCATAGTGGTTGCACCATTTTTCACTTTCACGGGTTCCAGTTTCTCCACAACCTTGCCAACATTTGATGTTTGCTGTTCTGTTAAATTTTCCTATTCTTGCTGGGATGAGATGGTATCTCATAGCTATTCTTGTTTTCTTTTTCTAGACTGAAATTCTCTCTTCTCCCCCATCTCTACTGAAACTTGAAGCTTATACATTCCAAAAATTATTAATAACTGGAAGGAAAAACTTTCTTAAATTTGGGATCAACTCCTCTGGCCTCACACTTGTTACTGCTCTTGCTTTTTCCTCCCATTAGTTTGAGTTGTCATTTGCTCATTCAACATTTACCAGGTGCATGTCATATATACTGGGCACACTGAGTGACAACTTCTGGAGAAGCTCTATTTTCTCAGCAAAAGGAGGATAATGATTGCAAACACCCTAAGTTTGTTGTCAGGCTTAAATAATAAAAAAAGCCCTCAAGTGCCTTTTATAATACCTGCTCTGCTGATCCAGTAGATAGGGAGTTGAGCTCTCAATCTGAAGTCAAGAATTAAACTCACCTGCTGCTTACCTGTTGGGGAGAGAGGAGCACACGGCCATGCAATTTGGAGCCTCTGAAAACTCACTGGAAGGTCAGCTGTGAGTCAATTCCAAGTCCAGCTACGAGTGAGGGGCATGCACTAGGTGCTCAACAAAGACTGTTAGTGTGTTTAGGTGCCACCAAGTTGACTACAGTTCATAGCAACCCTGACGAACAACAGACTTGAACTGTGCCCTATTCTGCATCATCCTCTCAATCTCCAACATGCCTGAGCCCTTTTGTTCCAGTCACTGTGTCAATCCAGCTTGTTGTGGGCCTTCTCTTTCTCTGAACTTCCACCTTTCCCAGCATGTCATCTTTTAACAAGGACTGGTCCCTCTTGACAACATGCCCGACGTATATAACACAAAAATCTCACCATCCTTGCCTCTAGGCAGCACTGTGGCTGCACATTTTCCAAGAAAGATTTGTTAATTCTTTGGGCACTCCATAGGATATTCAACAAAGGGTAGCTCTTAAAAACCAGTATCATCATAATGAAGATGAGTTAACAGTCTGTGCCACTGACAATGCATAGGCCGGCACTCTGAAGATTCCCTTGTTGTGCTGGTGCAGAAGAGCACACACATCACTGGTAGACCTGCAAATCTCTCTCCTCCTACAGACACAAACATGCCGGAGCAAATGTCTCTCTGGCTGCGAAATGCCTATGACCGAAAGGCACCCAGCTGACTTATGCATGATTCATCATTGTTGTCTGCTGCAGTAATTAGAAGCATTTTGGTTGGTTCTAGGTCAGAATGACCCAGTTACTACATCTTTTTTTTTCACTGTTAAAAGTTTGTGGTAAACCTTAAAACAAAAATGAAAGGCTTAGCTGCAGATAACTAGTTTGTGGCTTGTGCTGAAAGTCAGAATGTTATCAGCTCTGCACTTTGGAAGTAATTCCTAAACAAGGAGCCACTGGAGCTTGGCCTTAAAAACAAAAACAAACAAACAAAAAACCCAAAAAGCTGGACATACATTTCATTTTCATAGGTGTCCCTTCAGCCCTTCACTAGAAGGGCTCATCTGGAAATCTGTACCTTTTTGTGTTACCTCAGCATCTGGCACAAAACAAACACCTTAGAAGTGTTTGCTGATCAAGGCTTTTCATATAAATAGGTACCTACAAGTCGTTCCAACTCATAGCACCCCTAGGTCCAACAGAGCTCTCACCACTCATTCACTGCCATCAAGTCAGAACCAACTCACACTTGACCCTCCAGTAGGTTTTCAGAGGTAATAAATCACACAAGAAGTAAGTGCCCATTTTCCTCCTGCAAAGCAGTTGGTGAATTTGATCCATATGCTTCTGGGCTAACAACTCAAGTCCCTACCACTAAGTTACTAGGCTCTCTAGCACACTGTTTGTTGTTAAGTGTAGTTGACTACGACTCACAGAGACCCTAAGAACATAGACCTGAATCCTATCCTATCCTGCACCATCCTTATCATCCCCACCACAGTGGAGCCCACTGTCGTAGACAATGTGTTCAATCCATCTCCAATGAGGGTCTTCCTCTCCTTCACCAACTCTCCACCTTTCCAGGCATGATGTCCCATTCCAAAGAATAACCTCTCTAGACAACATGCCCAAAATACGTGAGGTGAAAAAGCTTCCCCGTGTTTGCCTCCAAGAAGCACTCTGGTTGCATTTTCTCCAACTTATTCTTTTGGCAGTTCATGGGATATTCAGCACTCTCTTCCAACTCTACACTCAAAAGTATCAATTCTTCTCCTGTCATCCTCATTCATTATCCAGTTCTCAAATGCACAGCGGGTGACTGGAAAAGCAGTCTCTTTAATCAGGTGCACCTTACTCTTTAAAGTGGCATCACTACTCTTCAGGACTTTGAAAAGATTCATGACAGCAGACTCCCAATGCTATTTGTCTCTTATCTCCATTCTGCTGATTACCAATGCTATTTGTCTCTTATCTCCATTCTGCTGATTATCAAGTGTGTTGATCATGAATCCAAGGAAGATGAAAGTGTTAGTATGGAAATAATGTAGAACAAGAAGTACATTTTGGGGTGGACTTGTGGGGATGGGGAAGAAAATATGTAACAATTAATAACAAATTCATTTCCATTTTTCTTCATTTTTCATGATGTTGCCTATTGGTCCAGTGGTGAGGATTTTTGTTTTCTTCATGTTGCGGTGTAATCCATACAAACAGCCAGTGACTTTGATCCTCTACAGCTATTGTTTTAGATCCTACTCACTTTCAGCCAGCAAGGTTATGTCATCTACATAACATAGGTTGTTGATGCATCTTCCGCCAATCCTCATGCTACATTCTTCTTCATAAAGTCCAACTTCTTAAATTACTTTCTCAGCACACAGACTGAACAGGTACAGAGAAAAGATAGAGCCCTGATGCAACCCTTCCCTGATTTTAAATCATGTAGTATTCCCTTGCTCTCTGTTCAGAAAACAGCTTCTTGGGTTTTCAAGAAGAAAAATGAGAATTACTGACCCCAAATATCTCATTTCTGTTAAACTTTGAGAATTAACATTTCACACTTTACTCTTGCTAATGTTGACTCATTAGCTGTAATAGTCTCCAAGTACTTACTATGACATATTTAAGTGATAAAAGCATGGAAAAAAATCACAAAAAGCAGAGAAAATAGCAAGTGAAATATCATACATCCTCAGTATATGACATTACTGTAATTTTTAATGCATAGAAAAAAAATATTAGATTGGAAAGAAAGATACTATAATGTTAATAGTGGATATTTTGGGGAAATGGAGTCATGGATCCATTTGTTTTCTTCCTAATTTTTTTTCATATTTTCTTAAGATTTTACCATCACACGCAATAATGGGAGATTACAATAATGAAATTCCATCGAACTCACTTGATGGAAGGAGTTAGTAGTCATTCTTACTGCCGTTAGGTCATAACCGTAACAGACCCTCCAGTGCCTATGTTGTTAAGTGCCGTAGAGTCGTAGATGACCCATAGCAATCCTATGAACAAAAGTCTTGAACACAAAACTTTCATCTTTTCTCCAAGTTCATAGAGTTTCCACAAGCAAGTGGCTCATTTCCAGGCAGCATGACACAGAACACATGCAAGGACATGGTAACTTGAGTCACACTCTGCTGACTCTTCCAGTCTTAAGCAGGGAAATGACTTAAATTCATGGTCATCGAGTTGATTCAGACTCATAGACAGATGGGGACTCTACAGGGCAAAGTAGCTCAGGAACTACAATGATCCGATAAGACAGAGAAAAACTGCCCTGTAGGGTTTCTAAAACTCTAAATCTTTACAGAACCAGACTATCACATCTTTCTCCGAGAGCAGCTGGTAAATTCACACCACTCAGCTTCTGAATAGCAGGCAAGTACTTGACCATCCTGCATCAGCAGGGTTAGTGTGGAAGTCCCTAACATCTCGTAAAATTAGTGGTTTGAGCTGCAGAGTCTCTTTAGCTGCCTACAGTTCTCATTCAACATTTACTTAGACATGCCAGGCAACAACATACCCAGGGTAAACTGGAAATCCTACTGGAGGCTCAAGAAAAGCAAATCTCCACAAGAGCTGGGCAGTGTTAAGGTATTCTCCAGTGCAGGATATGAATCACTATCCCAACGCTAAGAGGAAGCCAGGAGCATCTGGTCACCCTAACACTAGTGACCTATCAATGAAGCTCTATTCCTGAATGAGACTGACTCCACAGGCCTTCTGTTAAGTCCTGGGATGAATTAAACTTTTAGTGTCTTTGACTCAAGAAGCAGCTGGCATGGCATCTTGTCCTCAAAAAACAAACATCCTGTCCTTCTAACCCAAGCTTAGGTCTTATTTCCTCCAGGAATACCTTCACTTTGTTCCAACACTCATTTTCCTTTTTTACACTGGTTTTTGTTAAATTTGAATAGCTACAAAGGAATATTCACAAAATACACAGGGAATAATAACTCAGGACAATAAACACCTAATTTTAAGTAAAGAACATCATTATCATTGACATATTGTGTTGTTCCCCATTCCTCTCTTACCCCTAGAGATAACTACTTTCCTGAATTGTATGCTTTTTCAACTTTTGCTGTTTACGTATCATTTTGACATAGCTTTATACTTAACATCAACCAACAATTTAACCTAGATTTAAGCTAATTTTCGTTTTGTTCTGATATACATGAATAGGCTTTTGTTCCTTTTTTTAAATAATTTTTTTTTATTTTATACTAGCTTACTTACAAAGTTCTTACACATTGTTTTTCACACCAGATCTTTCCCATTTCCTTGATCCACCCCTCTTTACACCCATCAAATTATGTGACCCTACCAGTCATACACTCGTACCCCCACTCCCCACCCCTGCCCAGTCTCACCCCTCTACTTTCCCCCTGGGATCCTCATACTACTAGAACAATGGTCTTATAGCATATTTGTCCTTATGGGACTGAGTTAGTTCACTCAGCATTATGTTCTCCAGTCCCTCCCAAGTTAGGTAGTAGTTTACAAAATCATTGCTCCTGCGTGCTGAGTAGTATTGCATTGTGTGAATGTACCATAATTTCTCAATCCATTCAATTGTGGTTGGACATTTGGGCTGTTCCCATGTTCTTGTGATGATGAATAATGCTGCTATGAACAATGAACAGGATCCACATCTCACACTATACACAAAAATCAACTCAAGGTGGATCAGAGACCTGGCCCAAAGCCATAAAGTGCATCAGAGACAAACTGGGATCAAGCTTAGAAGACCTAGCCTTATAGCCAGAAATACTCAATCGGGAGAGGATGAAATTGATGAATGGGACCTTCTAAAGATTAAATCTCTGTGTGCATTAAAAACTTTTTCCAACAGAGTGAAAAGAAAACCTACAGACTGAGAACAAACATTTGGCAATGCCATTTCAGACAAGGGTATCATACCAAAAGTGTATAGAATGCTACAGGGCCTCCACAAGAAAAAGACTGATCACACAATTACAAAATGGGCAAAAGACATGGAAAGACTTTTCACAGAGGAAGATATTTGGATGGCCAATAGACACATGAAGAAATGCTCTAAATCACTGGCAATAACAAGAGATGCAAATCAAAACACAATGAGATATTATCTCACTCCAGTAGCAATGGCAAAGTTTAACAGGGTGTTGTTGTTGTTGTTGTTGTTATGTGCCGTTGAGTCGCCTGCAACTCATAGCGACCCTATGTATAACAGCCCTAAACTCCGCTCTGTCCTGTGCCAATCGCACTGTTTCTGACACTCCCATCCCAATTATCCCAGTCACTGAATCAATCCACCTCATAGAGGGCCTTCCTCTCCTGCGCTGTCCCTCCACCCTCCCAAGCATGATGTCCCTCTCCAAGGACCCGTCCCTCCTGGCAACATGTCCAAAGTATGTCAGACGAAGCCCCAGAATCCTTGCCTCCAAGGGGTAGCTTGGTTTAATCCTCTCCAAGATGAATCTGTTTGTTTTTTTGGCAGTCCATGGTACATTCAGTACTCTTCGCCAGCACCAAGTAATAAATGTTGAAGAGTATGTGGTGAGATAAGAACTCTTATTAAACATTGTTGGTGGGACTGTAAAATGGTACAATCACTCTGGAAGGCAGTTTGGTGCTTCCTCAAAAAGCTGAACACAGAAATTCTATATGACCCAGCTATTGCATTGCTTGGAATATACTCTGAGAAAATGAGAACTGAGGGTTTTTTCTTAGGCGCAGCCAAGATTGTGAGGATGGTGCAAGACCAAGCAGGGTTTCATTCTACCATATTCAGTGAGAACAAACTCAAAGGCCCCTAACAGGGAACACCATCAAGGGAGTTGGCATCTGCCACAACAAGGACAGAAAGTTCCACCCACAAGAAGCCTAAGAGCCAGGACATCCACCTTGTGTTGGTCACACTCTCCAGGTTTCTGGCCAGATACAACCACCTTCAATCAGGCTGTGCTGAAGAGCTGCACCAAGTGGTTGCCCCCGTCCCTTTCTCTGATGATCTAGAAGATATCTCCTCTTGGCTCAGAAAACACGATAGCTGTGGTGGTCAGGACCATAAAGGATGATGTCCTGGTTATGGAGGTGCCCAAGCTGAAGGTGTGTGCCGTAAGCATGAGCAGCCAGTCCGGAACCACATTCTCAAAGGCACTCAACAATGGTTTCCTTCCCTGATAGTGGTAATGGATATTTCTCTCACTTCCACAATATGTAACACAAGGGTTTTTTTAACATTTTGTTGTGGTTTGGGTGTAAATTTAAAAAGCAAATCCATTTCTCATTCGATAATTTATGCACATTTTTCTCTCAAGACATTCCTTTAAATTCCCACCACCTCAGGCTCCCCAGTCACCATCTGCCCAGCGTTCACACCCTTTCTTGCCATGTGACCATTGTCTGGGGACAAGTTCAACACAGTGCTTTCAATTACATTCTTTTCAATAGTTTTGTAATTTCTTTCCATTCCTTCCAAATGAAGGTCCCTGGGTGGCACAATTTGCCCTCGACTATCAACCTAACGACTGGTGGTTTGAGCCCACCCAACACAACAAAGACCGACCTTCCACTCAGCTTCTACAAAGTTTACATTCATGGCAGCACGGAAGAACAGCTCAACTCAGAAACAGCTGGGGCTGCCTTGAGACAATCAGCCCCTCGGCAATGAAGTTAGTGTGCGATTTGGTTTTCTTTGTTTAATTGAGGAAGATTCTGGTACACTGGCAAAGCTATTATGAGTAAAGAAATAAAACAACTAGGAGAAAATGAAAATCAAGATCTCATTTATGAAGGCATGTTTCAATATAATTCTGCATTCCCAGTGGCCAGTAAAAATTTAATAACAGAAAATCTCCAGAGCCAGATGGAGAAAAAAATCAAACTGGCAAGCACTATGTCTTTACTCAACTTAATCACTGAATGACTTCCAATATTAAGTTCCCTAATCATTTTGTCTTGAAGAAAGTTCTGTAACTAGCAAAAAAAGAAAAATGTAAAGAAAATACAACAAGCACACATAATCTCCTAAGTGTTGCCTTTCGGATTTCTCCCAAGAAACATACACACAGGAACACTACAAAAATATTCTCTAACTGTGGAATTTACAGGTACTTTGTGTCATCAAGTTGAAACCAACTGATAGATGACTCTCCAAGAGATTTTCAGAGGCTGCTCATCTCAAGGGAAGAGACTGCCCATATTTCTTCCACGGGACAGCTTTTTTTTATTATTTCATTTCATTTATTTTATTATTTTGTGTGTGTGTGTACCGTCAAATCAGATCTGACTGGTACAGAAGGAGATTGTCCCTCCTTCCCCGACAGAGCATCTGGTGGATTCAAACCGCTCTCCTCTGGGATTACAGTGCAGCTTCTTGCCACTAGGCCACCAGATCTTGCCAGAACAGCTTTTAGATTCGAACCACAAGCTTTCGGATTGGCAACACAACTTCCTACCCACTAGGCCATCAGAGCTAAAATGGTGCTCAAAACTATCATCCAGCTTAACATTCTGCTTTGGATGTTGTTGTTGTTGTTGTTGTTGTGTGCCAGCGAGTCGCCTGCAACTCATAGTGACCCTATGTACAAGAGCCCTAAGTGCTATTGTATCCTGTGCTGACCTTGCCATCTCAAACACACTCATTCCCACCACTCCACTCACAGAATCGATCCATCTTATCAGGGGTCTTCCTCTCCTGTGCTGTCCCTCCACTCTCCCAAACATGATGTCCCTCTCCAAGGACCAATCCCTCCTTGCAACATGCCCAAACTATGTCAGAAAAAGCTTCAGAATCCTTGACTCCAAGGAGCACTCTGGCTTCGCCCTCTCCAGGACAAACCTGTTTGTTCTACTAGCAGTCCATGGTATATTCAACACTCTTCTCCAGCACCACACCTCAAATGCATCAATTCTCTTTCTATCTACCCTAGTCACTGTGTATCTGATGCATAGCATGTAATTGCAAAGACTATAGCCTGGATCAGGCACACCTTTGTCTCCAGCCTGAAGTCGCTGCTCTTCAGTACTCTTGAAAGGTCCCTGTCAGCTGACTTTCCCAATGCAATTCGTCTCTTGATTTCCTGGCTGCCGTTACCAAGAGTGTTGACTGTGGAACCAAGTAAACGAAAACTGTTAACTATCTCAATCTCTTCACCATCCATACTGATGCTGCCAATTGGCCCAGTGGTGAGAATCTTTGTTTTCTTGATATTAAGCTTCAATCCATATTGAAGGCTGCAGTCTTTATAATTAAA